ATTTACACGACTATGACATAAAGCCGTTATTCAATTGTTCTCAATGAGCTTCGCCTCGAGCTAAACCCAATATAGCACTTTATTAAATGCTCTTTCACATGCGGGATCTTGCGGCTTAGTTTCGGTTCGGGACCTTGGTTCGGGAGGATTCATTTCGGGACCTTGGTTCAGGTCATGGTCATGTTTCCCACGTGCCTACAGCTAGGTCACGTTTTGCCTCTTACAATATTCAGTTATCCAAATGGATTAACCAAATTATCCGATGTATTAAGGATTACAAAGATTTAAGTTAATCAACAAGATAAATTAGAGAAATTCTATTTTCAACTTTATGTAAATAGAATTTCTTTAAAATATATTACTTTAGAACTTGTAATTGTCAAATAAGTTTGTATTGAATCCTAATAATTTATTAATAATTCTGTTATTCATTCATTAATCTATTTTATCTACTAACAAATAATCAGATAAATGATTCATAAATTGGAATTCTAAATATAAAGTTTATGTTATATTTAATACTTTCTTAATATTTTTTCTAAATATTCCTATAAATAAATTTATTTTTAAATTAGTAAAATGATTGTATAAACAAATTAGTAAATCTTATTATATATAATAATAGTATTGTAATATAGTAAATAAATAAATAAATAACAGTTTAAGGGATAGTTTAAATTTTTCATATTTAAAATTAAAATATTTATAGAATATTTATATTATAATCTTCAAAATAATCTATATACATATAATTGTTAATTAAAATTTTAATTTTTCACAAGATTACAGTAAGTAGATAACGAAATAATATAATGATATTTTTAAAATAAAATTTATTACAAATTTTTTACTTTATAATTATAAATTAAAAGTTTCAAAAATGCATAAATAATATTGATATTGTTCCTGATAGGATTTTAAAAAGAGCCTCTAAAATACTATATTACTATAGCAAAGGTTATATGAAAAAAATTAGGATTAGGATTCATTTTTAGAACCCTACCGGTAACAATATTTTTTTAACTCTATCAAGATCGGTCTGATCCATCAGGAAAGTAATTTTTCTAAAAAAAAAATTAAATATATATAACAATAATAATAATAAATATTTATCTGCTTTGCAGTTTTTTAACATAATTAATTGTACTAGTATTCCTGTTTAACTAATTAAAAGTACTGAAATTATTATTATATTTATTTTTTAAACTCAGTCTGTCTAAATTTTAATTTATATATCAAAACTCGATCAAAATCAAATCAAACGGAGAACTCGAGAAACAATATACCTAGAAAAGGCTCTTGTTTATTTAATCAGAAAGAAAAATCAATGCAATATAACAATTTCTGAATTTAGTTTTAAAAAGGAATTGATAAATTTGAACAGAAATAAAAGAATTCTAAAATCCGAAAAAAATAGTTATACTAACTATTTATTAAGTTAAAGTTTTTTTAAATCCAAAAATTTTAACAAAATCAAAAAATGTCAAAATGGTTTTTTTTTTATAAAAAATTCTTGTCAACAATTTTTTTCCTTAAAACCAAATTAAAGGTTAAAATAATGTTTCTAATAACAGCATTTTTTAACTCCCTTTCTATTTCAAAACTAAATTGATTAAAACCAAAATTTAAAAAAAGTAAAGAAGTATTGTTACGAAGTGCCTCTGATAATGCTTTTCCACCCTCAGAACCAATTTGATTACCATAAATAACCAAGGAAGTTAGAGTAGTATTTACATAAAGAGCTTCTGCTAATGCTTTCCCACCTTCAAATCCCAAATTATTATTACTAAGATTTAAAAATGTTAAAGTAGTATTTTTATGAAGTGCTTCAGCTATTACTTTTCCACCTTCGTAACCAAGTAAATTATCATAAAGATTTAAAGATGTTAAAGTGGTATTATTACAAAGAATCTTAGCCAAAGCTTTTCCACCTTCAAAACCAAGTTTATTATGTCGAATATCTAATAATATTAAAGTCGTATTCTCACAAAGTGCTTCAGCTAATGCTTTCGTTCCTCCTAAACTAAGTTGATTATCATAAAGTACCAAGGAAGTAATTTTAATACTTCGATAAAGAAATTTAGCGATCAACATTGTTGTTTCATGATTAAATGCACCATAAATTGCTAAATCTTTAAGTTTCTTATTTGTTCTTAAAAACATTGCAATTAAAGAAGATTTAACTTTTTGAACAGCATTAGTATACTTGGCCTGACCTTCAGAATAAGTTAAATTATAAGTTCCATGACCTTCGTGGTTAAGCCAATTTATAATTCCACAACTCAAACTATCATCAATTGAAGTAACATAAGTAGTATAATTAAATAATGGTTTTGAATCATTTGGAAATGTTATTTTAAGAGGAATTAATGATGCTTGTTCTTCTGTATTCAATGTTAAAAGGCATATCTTTATAAGTCTTTTATCATTGAAACCGTTCGATGGTTTATTCCATAATATAGGTACAACACTTCTACACCATTGACGATTTACGAGAAGACATGAAAATAAATTTTTATGACAAGATTGAAAATGTTTGAAAATTTCAATGAGACATTCATTTGGTAATGTTATCATTTCAAATTTCAAAAAAGTTTTAAAAATTTTAAAACAAAGATTTTTTTTTTTTGTCGATCGTACACAATAACGATAAGCTTAAAGAAAATCACAGATCCATGTGTAACATACGTCAAGGTCTGCTAAATATGTTGACAATAGCATATATTATACGTATCAAAAATTATGAGATAATTGCTTAAACACACCTAATATATTTTTATATAAATTTTTTTAACTTGGACATTAGGCCAAAAAAGGATTAAATAAAAGTATTACTATTAATTAATACATCGTTTACGTACGTTTTCACTAATTGTTTTTTTTTTGTCACTACAGTGCTTTTATCGCTTTATTACAACAAAATTAAGTATCACCAAGGGAAATTGATTTCGGTACTCATTTTTATATACTCATTAGTGTTTTTGATCGAGATCATTGTATTGTCGTGGTAAATAACTTCTAATATATCACTAATATTGTAATAGTTGTTTTTTTTTTCAAACTAAGTTGTTCGATAAAAATATTTATTCTTTCAATTTTTCTTTTTTGATATACATGATCACATTGGTTCGTAAAACTATTGCTAAATGAGAACCTTTTCCAAACCATTATAAATCCTTTTTATAATGTCCATATGGGTATGTCATGCTGTACTTACTGATGTAATTTCTATAATCTTTTTATTTTATTTGATTTTAATTTTTAACTTTAAGGCATAGTGTACAAACAATTAACGCATTGTACAATATGTATATTACTGTACACAGCACATCATTAGGCATACATACTAAACACATCTTTAAGCACACGTACTGTACAAAACAAAGCATGTAATAAATATATAGGAAATTTCATTCATCGGAACATGAGAAAAAATTTGCACAACAAATGTAAAAATAGCTTAATCACACGAATAATAATGGTAGAATACTTAATGATACTATCGCTTATTTATTTAATCCAACATGTATATGCTAAATAACAATAAAATAATATAGCCAAGACATAAAAAGGTATAATATGAATATAAAACAAAATCTTAATAGGTTGGATCAAAATTGCACAGCAAGCTTAAAAATTTTCTCGTATAAAAAGTAAAAAATGATAAAATTCATTTTCGACCAATCCCGTCCTGAAAATCATAAACATAGAATTAATATGATGAATAAGTAATGTGAAAAAATAAATAATGTAATATCAAAAATACGTACACACACACTTAGATTCGGTTTGATCTTTTGCCAATAAACCTCTTATTGTAACACAAAAATCTTTGGCATAAAGTTCATCTAATTCCAATTCTTTCAAAGATTTGTCAATAGCTCTAACGACCAAATTGTTTACTTTCCCATCAGTTTTTGTTTCATTCACTTTATCTAAAAGATCAGAAACGATTTCTGTCTGATTCTCCCAATATCCAACAAGCTGTCCAATTGTTATAATTATTGATTTAAGATCTTCCTCCATCTTATCGATTATGACTGTTAAATCTTTCCTTTCTTGTTCCAATTTCTCTTTAATGTCACCGCTTTTAGCCCATCTAGTTGGTCTATTCATTCCTTCTTTTATGGCAACAGCTAATCAAATAAATAAGCATTTAGATACAAATTTAATGCATAATTTATTGTATAATTTACATAAATAGATGGGTAATATTCAATAGTAGTAGTTCACTCACCAGCACCACCACCAATTGCAGCTGAACCTCCAATAATACCAAAAATAGCCGCTTCTATAGCAATACTAGCACCAGCAGTAAACGGTGCAAGAGCTACAGAAACCGCAGTTAATACAGCACCAATTCCTGCAGCGGCAGATCCAACCGCGAGAGTAGTTGTTGAGGATTTGATTTCATCATTAACTTTGTCAAATTCATCTTTTGTTTTCGATCTAATGTTGCTCGAATCATTCTGAACATCATTTTTATATTTATTAAGATTGTTTCTGATATCTACTAGTTCATCTTTAACCATATTAGCTTGATCCTTCAACTTTTCAGACGATTTCAAATTACGTTCAGTATCATCCAATAAAGATTTTAAACTTCTATGGTTATCATCAGAGATAGGCTGGTCGGAGAAACTTTTAATTAATAACTGCAAGTTCGAAACATATTTGCGTATTTCGTGGCTTTGTTGGATAGAACCTTCAATAAATGAGAGAAATTTCTCACGTTGAAAGTTAATTTTGTCAGTTTCTTCTTTAACTATATAATCATTTGATTTAACTTTTATGCACTGCCAAAAGTTTTCAATACTTGATTCAAGGTTAGCTCTCATGCTCTGCATATTAAAACCCGAATAAGTCACATCTTTAACAGTAGGATCATCTTCAGTTTCGTTGGTGGATATATAAACCATTTTTATTAATATCGAAAAGAATGTGTATCTTTAAAATTTAATATTGAAAAATATATGAACTTTCAAAATTTAATCTGTTTGTTTTTTTTTTTCAAGAAACGGTAAATGAAAGAAAAAAAATACCTTTAACTTCAGTTATGTACTTATTGATGTCTAAAACTTTTTGTATAAATTTATATAAAAATATCTTACATGTAAAGTTGAGCCAAATATGGAAATAATCTGGATGATCATTACACAATTCATTAATTATTTATACAGTTTATAATACATTTCGTGAGGCCATCGTGGCTTATTTTCGTTATGAAACGTGAATCACGTTAATAAGTAAACTTGTTGCTTTCATATCGTACTTTAATAAAATTGGGCATTCAACTTGAATCTTTATATTACGATTTACTATTAGTGTTAGCTGTTGGATTCACCAATATTATTAAAGTACGATAAGCCACGATGGCCTCACGAAAAGTGTATTTTAAACTGTATAAATAATCTTTAATGAATTGTGTAACGATCTTATATTTGGCCTGTACACGTAAAGTGGCTGTACTGAATTACGTAATTAAATTCTCGTGACTTTTCACATTACTGCGCATAATCGTGAGAATCATACTTTGTTACATGTGTCACAACCTCTTTTATTCGGCGTAAATCCTTGTCATCAAAATATTTAAACAAACAATTCATAAACATTCTAAAATAGATTTCTTCATGTCTTTATTTGAATTTTAAGTGTTTCATGATCTTTTAAAAATTTTAATTTCGGCCGGATATTATTTTAAAGGAGATGCTTTAGATTCATGATGTTTGTAAAGAAATGTTTTATATATAATAGGTAATATCGTCTTTCTGACACTTTTTTTTATTAGTACATCACAATAACCACAATAGGTTTAGATTAGACCTTTGTATTTCTGATATTTTTCACATTGTTTGCTTTTTCGGACTGATCCACTTAACCGATTTCGTTTCTTGATTTCATTTACAAGACGATTTGTCTGTACAAAATTTGGTTTAATAATTATTCTCATATTTTTTATTGTCATTCCTTCAAAAATATCTGACAGCTTGAAAACATACAATTTGATTAGGTATAGTAATTGAAACCACTTAACGCTAAAATTTTCTTAACTATTAATTGTGTTTAAACATCAGACATTAATACCATTATCGGTCATTGTTGTCATGGATACAATTAACTTAATTTACAAGGTCAGAATTTATTGTTTTTAAAGTTTAAGCAGACCATTATTACCGTATATATAGAAGACTGATGATAATATATTTTGAATATTTGGCTAATTAAGATATTTTATCAATTTTTGTGTTAAAAATTGTAAAATGTTTATAAATAATTAAATTATATATTAGTATTAAATTATTTTTACTTTTGGCATAATTCTAAATAGATGAAATTATTTTCCACAGCCTAAATCATAAATAGGTTGAAATATTTTAGAACATCTTAAATGTTTTAGAGTGACAAAAAATATTTTAGTAGAACTGAAATTTTATTGTTCCCACTAATAATAACAGTGACGTTTTATAGGGCTGAAACCTTACTTCCTAAGTTCTTGAATTCGAAATTAAATTTTTAGTATTGAGTATTAGAATCATATGGGCTAATTTGCTGCATTTGGGCATTATATAGAGTCACTAATTTAATCAGAGTCAGCGGTAAGTAGATTATGGGGACGTTGCAGTAGAAAGGGCTCGATTTTAAAGAAAATCGTGTTTATTTTTTTGGGTTAATCAAAATTTTGCGATTTGATTGGTTGTTTATGTAAGTAGTCCGCAGAGGGTCGGGTCCGGACCGGTCCTGGACTGGACTTTTTAGAGACCGTTGTTATGCACCTAAAAATGTTTTTTCTTTATTTAGTAATTTTAGTACTCTATCTTTATTCTTATTTTTTATTATTTTATCAGTATTATCGTTGGTTTTTCTTGTTCGGGGCGAGATCTAGGTAGGATCGTCGTAGTGCAATTAGGTGTGTTGAGCCCTCAACGAGGGGTTAAATCTCTCTCTGTAGTTCATTTATAGAGAGCAAATTCTATAATTCTCTTATAAGTTGGGGCCAAGTTCTGTTGTGCATTTAGGAAGAATTTACATAATGCGTGCACTTAGAAAGGCCTTACTGTATAAGGGTTGGGTTTCAGTATATAGAAGGAAGGGTAGAGAAAATATCTGTAATTAACCATTTATTTTATAGTGAAAATTGTATGTTAGATTTGTTTGCATGAATTAATGAGAAGTATAAATAAAAGAAAAACCTTTCACCCTGTAAATTTAAAAGTCAAATAATAAATCCAAGTGATAATATAATGCTTGCCTAATAATAAACTTCTTGACCATTGATCATGAGATTTTAATTGTTAATCCAATCTCCAAAGTAATAATAATACTTCCATGTAACACAGGTAAAACAAAGAAATATCAGAGTCATATTGGCATTTTTTTAGACCAGATATTAGCCCAATATTAGTTGAAATTTGGCTTGAATCGGGAACCTATAGGATATAAATCGGTGTCACATCAGCTTTAATAAATATTGGCAAGCCGATAGTTCTATAGATGAATCGATAGTCTATCGATCAATTGATTAATAGCTATTGATTAATTGTTTGATAGCACTATCGATTCATGTATAGAGCTATCAGCTTGCTGATATTTATTAAAGCTGATATGACAGCGATTTATATTCTATAGGTTCCCAATTCAAGCCAAATTTCAACTAATATCGGCTAATATTGGGTCCAGAAAAATGCTGATATGACACTGATATTTTTTTGTTCGACCTGTGTAATATACTTGTTTACAAGTGAAGCTAAACCAGTATAATTCAATGAAGCTCTCCTCTAATTATAATATTTGGTGTCAGTTATGTGAATTATGAATGAAACTTAGTTACTATGAATCATTTTTTGGATATTAAAAATGATAATAAGAATAACATATTGAAAGAACAGAAAAACAGTTTTCAACAGCAAATTTAACAATTACTGCAATAGCTGGTACTTTACCTTAAGCATTCCAAAATAATTAAATATGCAAATTGAGTATTGTAATTTTTTTTATATTTGCCAGCAAGAACCATGATTCAGTAGCATAGTTAAAATTGATAAGCCATCATTTAGAGTAATAGCAGTTATTGATATATATTTAATAGAAATTATAACTATGTGATAGATCCTATATTAATCACTAAAAGAATAATTTTTATCTAAATACAAGTTTTATATATTAACAGATCAAACAAAAAAATGTCAAAGAAGTATCAGCATACTGATAGTATTCAAAAGGTTTCTAATATACTAATAATAGTAGTTCAAGTATATATATCTAATATTTTACTAATTTGGCATTTATATTTGACTAATTTTAAAAATCTATCAGTACTATTCTTAACTTATATTATAAACATATCAGTTTTTTAATAAACATTTTAAATTTCTAATAGGCATTTTAATTTTTTATATTTTATATACTACTGTTTTGCTATTTCTTGTAGTAAAAAAATATTTAAAATATACATGATTTTTTAAAAAAAATTGAATAAACATAAAAGATGTTTAAAGTTAGATAGATCTTTTTTGGTTAAAAAAAATTTTGATAACCTTTATTATATAAACAATTATTACCTCTCTTTTAATAAAAATATAAATCATATAGGGTGTGGCAATCTAGTAAAGTGATCAGGTTGTCAACCCTCCAGGTGGTAGGTTGGGTGTTTAAATCTTATCAATAGTGAAAATTTGAATAATCATCTATGTAATATTTGTATTACAACAACTGTTACTAATAATTAAGTTAGAATATCTGAAATAGTAGTTACAACAGCATAACTGGCAGGTTATAGGGCATATATGTAACTTGTTATATAGAGGAATGCAAACTGACAAATCAGTTAGTGCAAATACTAGATAAGTTCTTGTGGTCATATAAATCTATTGAAATTAGACAACAAAAAGTCCATTTGGAAAAATCTGAATAGAGAGATAATTGGTTCTTTAACAGCTCTACTATTAAGACTAGTTTGAAAAAATGGATACCAAAGTTACAATATCTAGTTATAGCATCCAAATAAGCAAAAATTTCTAGATTGGGAATCACAAAGGTATCATCAAACAGGTTGCTGAAATAAACTAAAGAAAAAGAATATTGGGGTAATTTAATTTACTAATAGACTAGTTGTAGTTTTATATGACCTATTTGGATTAAAAATTTAAACAAAAGGTTAAACAAAAGGCAGAGATATACTAAAGTATTAAGATTATACTATAAAATAGATGCTGGGATCTGTGTAAATTCTACAAAAATATAACAGTTATAACTTTGATTATAAGTGTTGGTTCTGTTATAACAATATTTAAGTTAGCTGTAAAAATAGATATAGAAGGCTCTAAAGATTTACTTTGAGGATAAATTAGTTCTAAAGTTAAGATAATAATTAGGGCATCTGGGTATAACTTAGTGAATTAATACAGATTACAGGTTCAGAGAGTTTAAAGTAGAACATCCAATTAGAAGTATTAGATATAATAATTAGTAGAAAATCTTTAAACAAACTCCTTAAATAAGTAATATAAAAAAGTTATATATATAGCCAATTATATTCTCTTTTATAGTAGTTCATAGAATTACATACTAAAAAAGACATTAATAAAAATCAAAAAACCAAAGAGTCACCTTAATACCAAAAAAATATATATATATAAACCAATAAATTAAATTATCTTATTAAACATGTATGCAATAGATGCTATTTTTTTATTTTTTTATTATTATTTTTTTATATTATACTTTTATATTTTTATCTGATTATTTATATTTATTAGTAGAGATGTGGTAACTTAGTGAAATGGATAAGTTGTCAATTCTCTAAATAGTAGATAATAAGTTCAAAACCTACTAATAGCAAAAATTTGAATAATCACCTATGTAATACTTATGTATTACAACAATAACTTTTCTGTTGATCAGTTAGAATAAGATATCTGTA